CAGTCTACAATGCACACGGCGACACGCTGGATAACCGGAAATCAGAAGGTTGTCGATGGTTAAAAGGTGTTGATAGGCTTGTGCGACTCCTGCCATTCGCTTGCGCTTTTAAATCTGCTAACCTGAAAGCTTAGCTGTTATAAGGATATTATTTAATGACTTTTGTTTGCGATGTGATAATAAAGATTACTTTGAAGGTGTCATTTCCCCATCTGTATGATCTTGGTCTTCTTGAGGTTTGGCACAGCCGGATGAGATTGTGTAACCAAAGGTAACATTTTCATTTGTGCGCGCTATTTTTTTCGTTTTCAGGTATATTGTCTCTCCCGCATAAAATAACTCCAAAGATACGTTTCTCAAAACCTTATTCTCGGTATTCTCTATTCTTTAAGCATATTTGAAACTCTGTACGTTTTTGTTAAACGTTGAGCGTGACGAATTTGGTCTTAGGAGGCGTAAGGCTTCTCCTTTCGCGAATCCTGTATTTATGCCTTAAAGTGTGTGACATGAAAAGTAGGTCGTGTATTAGAGGGTCGCTGTCTCTTTGTAACATAATGCATTTGCACGTCAAGGGTCGGTTCTCCGTTAAATGACTCGCGAACTTGATATTATTCACACAGCCATCGGTTGTGAGTGCAACTGCTGGTAAATGAGTAGATTCTTGGGAAAGGCTGCAGTTTCGATTCTTTCTGAATCTCTTCAGTTGCCTCCTAATAACGAATTTGTCACGGAGGAATAACACTTTTTCACTTTCGAAGGAACGGCAACAGAGAGTGAATCCCCGTTACATTCCACGTTTATTCACGCAATCTCGCTGTCACCAAAGATGTTCACTCGACCGCGACAGGATGCAAATAACTCGCTTTACGACCATGATGCAACGCAGTCAGAGTGCGCACACCGCCTGGTATGGCATGGATCGATGGATATTAAGGTTATAGGGATTTGACTACACCGCCTCCCCCCACGTGGGTAACAAATCGACCACATTCTTTTTTGCAATTTAAGACATTTTTATTTTAATGCTAGGCTATTTATGTGGAATTCTAAGGATTCATATAATTCAATGAAATACTGACAAAAAGAACAGTTTCTTTATGCTCTGCTATTAAGTCAAGAAAGTATATCACAAAAATGTTGTATTTTGTTTTTATTATGAAAATTACAAACAGGAACTCAAAAGATCAAGAGCTTCCCCTCCCAAATTATCCATTCAGGGTGAGATTTAGAGTAACTCTCTGATCTGTAAAAGTTGTTTCCAAAGGGCTGTGTGAAAAAAAAACCATCCGTAGGGGCGGGAGTGGGATGGATATCTTTTTGGAACAGCGAAATCTATGCTACAAGTGCTATATTACAATGCTTAATTAAGAAAGTTCTTCATTTCACTGTCAATTTTTTTTAGCGTCCAATAAATATTCCGTTTATTGTATTTAATTGCTCTTATTCATAATGACGTCACGGCTTGTTTATAGAGGGGACAGAATTGTCTAGAACAATAGAAATAATGAGTGAAAAAATTAGTTCACGTTATTATCTTTTAATTTTTCTCAAAACGATGAGCTTTTTTCCGTGGAAAACTGACCAAAACTCTTTGCGCCTGATCCAAATTATGTTGGCAAATGGCGTCGACGATTCTACAGTTCACAGTATTTAGAACTTTTTTGGTAAACTTTCGAAACGTTTGGTAAATTTTGGTAAATATATTGGCGATATATTAAACTTTAATAAACAGTGAAAACGACAACCTTAACTTTTAAGTACTTTGCCTAACTTTTGCAAATTTCTCTCGTTTGACCGCGGTTAACCAGCCTATAGACCTGCAGATTTATTTTCCGTGGGGCTGGGAGGGGGGAGTTCGGCTCCCATACTGAACTGACAGCAGGGGTGCTCGGCTGTGGCCCTAAAAATGACCCCTAAAAGGTACTGTATGTTGACTGAAAAGCTGATCGCGAGTGATATTTTGTACTCTGCTTTACACGACAAATCAATTGACTTATTGGCATCTGGTTACCGATTTCAGATGTGTCGTGAAGAATTCGACATGTTTTGGTTGTCTGTTCATTGTAGCGCTTAATTTGTTGTTACTAGATGAGGTAACTGAAATTCTGAAATCGGTAACCTGTAACTGAAATTCTGAAATCGGTAACCAATAACCAGATTCCAATTAGTAATCAATTGACACCCTAAATGGTACCAAGTTTATTATAAATTGTTTTCTTCAACAGCTCCCCTAAATGGTACCATATCTGGAATTTTACACCATAAATGGTACGGCCGAGCCCCCCTGTCAGTTTAGTATAAGCCCCCCCCCCCTTCGTGGAAAAAATCAATACTTACTACATCCAACAAATAATTAGGATTTTCCAACGTATACTGCACAACAGCTTCTTCAACCAGAGGGCTGACGACGGATACTTTTTCAAATCGAATCCTGGTGATTTCAAACAAGACCAGGAAAAGGTTGATGGTGACCACCTCGTTTCAAAGATATCAATAGCCTTGCAAGTACTTATCATCGCTAGTGACCTGATGCGCACACGTTTGCACCTATCAGGAATCTACAGTGCTTCGTCTTCTAGTACTTGTAGAATATTAGTAATTGCCTTGGCCATGAAAAGTTCAATGTTACTGTTGCCTCTTAGAAGGTACTTAGCGTACTGAATGACTGTTCGAGGAACATAGCCAATGTGTGCCAGCACGTCGGTGGGCCCGGGGACAATTCCTGCTCAGTTTGGATATCCTGTAATATGACAAATATGAACGTTATAAATCATAAATGTAGTTGGTGATCAGAAGGCTTAACATCAATCTACTGCTAGTACTCGTTACCCGAAAAATTCGCGAAGAGACGCGACATTCGAGAGTGCAACATGATAGCTTTTATTTCATTATGTAAATTTTTTAGTTGTCTACTCACCGCTTTTTCAGACTTAGAAGTCCTTGTTTCATACAACAATGAAATACAAAGGAAACTTATAGCACTGGATAACAAAGGCACATGAATCGCGCATTTTTTTCGACCGAGCGTGCAAGAAAATCGTATATACGCGTCTGACTACCCTGCGTCGGAGCGTATGAAATTCGCCCGCGCAGCTAACGTATACGTGAGCGGTACTGTACATAGAGTAGTGAGGCCTCTTTCCTCACCATCGATTGAACCCTCGGATTGGATTGTCGGTGCAGTTACAGTACCGACTGGAACTAACCCCCACTTCACATGCAAACATCAGTGCAAACATGAGCAGACCCAGAATCGCGAATAAGACACGCTATTTATGGATCCAGAAGCTCAAAAACCCGACCCTATTAGGCGGCACATACCTATATAGCTTATATATGGGCTTGAAGTTTGGTTGGGTTCACTTCAGAAAGTATGGTCTGCTCAGGTCTGCTTTTGGTGCAATTTTAGTGGGTGATAGTTCTTGTTGGTACTGTATGTGGGAAAAATTATTACGCCGCATGTACAGGGCTCGAAATTAGCACTCGCAAACTCGCGAAATGCGAGTGGTTTTTCGAAGTTGCGAGTCTAAAGAATATCCTCTAGCAAACATTTGCGAGTACCGGTATTTTTCCAGTAGAATCTCGATTAAAAAATTAACGCTGAAAATGGCTGCATTGAAAAGTTACTAGTTAGGTTCCTTCTTTTGCTAGTAAAAATCTTACAAGCAAAACTTTGCTAGTAGACAAAAAAGTTAAGTTCGAGCCCTGATGTATTTATCAAACATACACAAACCTACATACCGTTAGAAAAATATTAGCTGTTCAGCTCTTCTAGCTGAAAATTTACATAGCCGAAATTCTTTGGAATAAAATGTGATTTTCCGAAAAAGGCTGTCCAAAAATTTCTAGGTGACCTTTTTTTTAGTAAAAATGCCCGAAAATTTGGCAAATTTCATGTGTTTGTAGTGTTCGAAAATTTTAGGGTGCGAAATGAAGGGGTGATTGGAATAAAGCCCGAAGTGACTTCTGATTAACTGCTAGATTCTCCTTCCAGTTTGTCTTGTATATGCTCATGTCACAATTTGGCTTCAGATTAAGAGTCTCTTAGGGCTTTATTCAAAATAATGTTTGGAATAAGGC